TTGCTGATTCTTGGAAAATCTTCTTGCTCTATGGACTTCAGTAATTTGCGTGGATGAATAGAGATGAATGTGCAATCTTCAGATAGTACAGGACCTGTATATAAGATTGCAACTCGAAAGCATTAAGTTTATACTGTGTTTTAAAGTATCACCAATTTTCAGGGGTATGCAAAAGAGTATCTAAATTCAAATGAAAGGTGACATGAAGCCATTATGAATGCATTGTGCTGTAGGGAGAATCCATGTTGACTTGTTAGTTGTATTTTCTTCTTTCCGTTGCAAAACCCATGGAGGTGCACCAACATAAATGTTGGTATAACTCCACCATAATGGCTGTACCTGGATTGAACTTGACCTAAAAATGCTCAAAATTACTCGTATTTTCTTGCATAAAGTTCTTAGTACAAGCCTCTGCCCATCTTCATTTGACTGCACACAGCTCTGATCCATTCATGCATTTGCACTCTAAGTTACTTTCCTCAGCAGCACACAATTTGGGCAATTATTTAGTAGGGTTCCTCTGTGTAATTTCATGCATGACTGACATGCCCTGCAGTCATCCTTATGCTCCTTTGATGATGGAGGCTGTACAGAGAGCAGCCCTGTGGCAAAATCCTAATTCCCGCTGAGTTTCATCATTGACTTCTGTGGGTCCAAAGTTTCACCCTAAGTGCATTGAATCCATGAACTGCTATAAGGGACCAAGAACTGAGACAAGTTCAATTGCCTTGGGTGTTAAGCTCAGTTGTGGTTTATTTTAAGTGTGCAGGGGAAGCACTTCTGGAAGAGTAATTTGAAGAGACAGACTAAAAATGTGTGCACCCTTGGGAATGGCTGAAGACAGCCTTCTTGCAGAGCTTGCATCCAGTTCCAGATTTAAAAGGTTGTTATCTAATGAGCACAAGCAATTACTTAGCTAATGAGTACAACAAAATGAGCATGAGAAATGTGTTTCATCTGCAATGGCCACTAGAAAGACATGATTTTGAGCTGGAGGCTGCCCTTGCCTTAAGACCCGGGTCACTGCAGTGAGATTAATCCAGGGCATAAATCACAGGGGTTAGATTAGTGTTTGTTTTACTTGAATTCACATTTCTTGCTCTCTTATCTCTTCTAAATCTTGCAGCTTCTTAACTCAGTCATGAACCAGAGAATGGAATGGGTTTAAACAGCCACAACTTCCCTCCTGAGCACTGGCTGTCAGCCCTCAGGCCTGATTTACCACTGGAACGCAATTATAAAATGGCACAATGCAATTAATGTGTCTTCCCTCCCCTTTCGTGCCAGACTGGAATTCCTCCTCCACCTTCTTCGGTTGGAGTGATTTTTGTAATATAATCTGATCCAAGGTGACTTTATTTGGCATTAGTCAGGGGTTTACCAGATTTGCTGATGTAAGGAGCTAATCATACACCCTGGTTAGGGGTGGTTCTGTGTGTCTACTGCTATTACAGTGCAAGTTCAGGTTGTTTCTGGACCTCTTTTTGTTTGGTTTTGTGGTTGTGTTTTCCCACCTTTATATTTGACAGTGACAGTCAGAACAAGACAAACATAGAATGAATCACCTACATTTTTCCAGCCATTAAGCAAAACCCATGTGAGCTCAAGACAGTCCCTCACTACCAAGAGAACTCACAGCCTTCCTGGTGTCAGTCTAGCTGATCATCTGCAAATACTTCAGAAACAACATCTGACATCTGCCACAGCTCTGATACTGCCTAGAAACATGATTTTTGAGAGTATGAGCAGAAAGCCAAGGTCTTGGCCTGTAAGGGACCATGTAAACACCAGAGCCACTGGACCTGCAGGGAACTGTACCTGTGGGGGCTCATCTGCTCACACATGTTCTACATAGCTGCTGTGTTGCACAGTATTTAAGAAGGTGCTGGTGCATTGCACATACTGATGAAAGCAGTGGGGAAGAAGATTTCTGTGCATGCAGGGATAGGTAAAAATTATATGTGCAAGTTTTAAAGTTAACATTAGGGCTGGTGTAACAACTTTGTCCTTCATTTTTAATCAAGAACATGCACAGCCAACCACTGTTAATTTTCCTGATGTATTTTACTGAGGATTGAACATATTTTTTTATTCTACTCTCTACGGATATATTTCATTATGCCTAACACTTCAGTCAAACAGTCTACAGGAAATCAGAAATGTTAATGATTTGTTTTTGTATTTTCAGGGAATTTGTTCTTTGGGGGAGGCACGATAGAATTACGTGAATGAAAAGGAAATATTGATTTCTTTCCCCCATGAAACTTCTCAGAGTCATGGCTATTGTCAAATTCAGTTGAAACCATAGTTATACACTAAAACAAGTCAATAAAAGGCCCAAGAACACTTCACTTTTTTTTCTATGGTCTCACAATGGCTCAGATGACTTTTGCTCCTTAACTTAGATGCAAATTTCTCCCTAGAGCTTTGTGTTACTTTGCATACCATAGGAAGTAAACTCACGAGGTTTTCCTTATGTGGAATACATGGAGTAAGCAACAGCGGCCAAAAGTTAGAGCAGAGACGAGTCAGAATGGCGATATGTGTAGGCTGCCCACTTTCATTGTTCTCTGAGGTTGGTGAGTTGTTGCCTTCACTCCTGGTGCTGAGTGTAAGATGAACAAGTGCTGCTTAGGTATTGCAGCTGAGGTTTTCAGAGGGGTTTTCTTGCTGGCCTAACTCAGTCTCTGCTGAAATCCAGGGTGGTTTTCCCACTGGTTTTAATAGCACCTATTACACAATGCTGAAGGCTCTTGAAAAGCCCACCCATCAGCCATGAACAGGTTTGGTGACCAAAACCCTGAGTCTGCATCCTTTGAGGGGAGAAAGCTTTCTTTGTGGGAAAGGTAACATTTGGGGTGTTGCTTCTTTCCCTTTGCTCCATATTCTTAGTTCTAGTTGGGTATAAATACAGCTGTGGCTGTCCAGTACCAGAAAATCCTTTCAGGTCCACAATGATTTGGAGAGGATTTCTCTCCACATGTGTAGCACTTCAGAGTTGTTTCAGTTGTTCTTTGCCTTTTGAGATGAAAAGAGGTATCTGTGCTGGATCCTCGCTTAAATTCCTTTGCAACTCATTGGATTTTGCATTAAATTAAATTTCACATGCTGAGTGAGCAGCCAACCCTTGTGAGCCCAGAGGAAAGAACATGCTGTTTCTATGCATTTTAACGTGACGGTCAAGTTGGGGCTAATGCTCCCAGGCACCTCCTTCAGCGTTCACCTTTCAGCCTTTCCTTGCTAAGCCCTGTATTTTTAAATGAGATGCCTGCATTTTATTACCTTTGTAAGTGGAAAACAACAGCATATGTTCTCTGCCCACTAGAAAAGGCCTGGATTGCTTTGGTTTGAACTTTAAAATAAAGGTCAGACTTGAAGCAGGCATGAATTCTTGCATATGTCAGCTCAAAAGGTGAAAGCTTTAGGAAGTTATGAGCAACAGCAAATGAGGCAGTTTCAAATTGCACTTGAAACTGGAACAGCTGTTGTTTGGAGTGTGGCATTCAGAGTTATAATGCTAAAGATTCTATATATCACATTCAGGGAGAACTCAAAAATAGAAAGTAGTCACTGAAGCAGAGAGAAAATTGGTTTGGGTGGCATCTGATAGAGCAGGAACAGCCTTTATGTTAATGGCACAGGGAGAACATTGTGGGAAAGCCCAAATATCGAGGTGGGTGTAAGAAAAGTGATGAGGGAGAAGACAAAAGAGACTAGGGGAGTCCAGGGACATTTCTGAGGAAGGATTTTCCAGTGCCTTCTTGCAAGTAAAAATTAATTGTTTCGGGACTGGAATTCACAGCTCTGTATCACAGGGACTTAACAAGGCTGGTGGATTACCTCGCTCTGTGGTCTCAAAATGCTCTGACAGGTTCATGTATGTCAGGCAAACATTATGGTAATTTTAGCACTTTAGGGGCTCTACAGGAGTACATAAATACTACCTAAGCCATCCAGCTGAATTTAAAACTTAATTACTGCCCCACTTAATAATATTCTCTCCTCCCACCACTGCTTTAGAGGATCATAGGGTTAAAAGAAATCATTAATCTTCCTTAATGAAGCTATTTCTAGCAGGAGACAGAATGTCTTGCCCCTGTGGATTCTGAGATGGAGTTTTTGTAAGCGTTATGAATGGGGAAGTGGGGAGTGAGCACTAGAGGAAAAGCAGTGTAGAAAAGGGGTAGGACCCAAAATAGCAGTGACGAGGGGACCCTCTGACTTGCAGGCCCTTATTGAGTTTAGCTAAAAGAATGTGATAATCATGGGAGAAGAGGAGTGAACCTAATAAAAGCTAAGTTAGTTCTTTAGCAGTATTCCTATCACACCTACTAATTATTGGAATACCAGCAATCGCCGAAGCTTTTATATAACTGAGACCAGAGCTCTCTTGAAATTGTGAATCTCCAGAGAGATACACAGCAGAATTTGTGTCTCTGTTTTTAACTGTGAAGGCAGGTCTATGTCCTCAAAGCTGCTTTTCCTGGGACAGTTCTGCCTGGTCCTGCACCACCCGGGGATGTGGTGACTTTCCCAACCCTGGCGGTGTTCAAAGCCAGGCTGGATGAGGGCTTGAGCAACCTGGTCTAGTGAGGAGGTGTCCCTGCCCATGGCAGGGGGTGTTGGGACTAGATGATCTCTAAGGTCCATTCCAACCCTTAAATTCTGTGATTCTATGATTCTATGATTATCCTATGATTAAATTGCATGCAAAATGTTCCAAAATCTCTCTAATCATCCCAGTGCAAATCCCTCCCTTTGCACCCATGAAAGGGGAGGAAAACCTGCTCCTTAAAACAGAGCAAGGTTTAGTCCTCTCCTAATCCATGGCTCATACAGTACCCCATTCACTGAGCACCATTGCCTGCCTCATGCCAGGGCCAGTTGAGGAGGTGAGGATGGCCTTGCCCTTCTCCATCTTGTCTCTGTTTGATGTCTCCTTTGGTGGAGATACTGAAGTGCTTTTTTTTTCTGTTTCTTGTGTGCATCCACGGTTGCAGAAGATGCTGGATGAGTGCCAGGACAGACGGAGCTGCCAGTTTCTTGTCAATAGCCGACTCTTTGGTATGGATCCGTGCCCTGGAACCGGCAAGTACCTCATCGTGTGGTACAAGTGCAGGCCAAGTAAGTATCTCATTATCGAATCTGTTTGCTCTGGAGAGGCCAAAGTGTTTTCACACTCAATACTCGCCAGAAAGGCCTTGTAGGACTTTTTGTTCCCTTTCACCTTTACTTTTGGTGTAACATAACCCCCTAGTGTGGAGCATTTTCCCTCTTCCCCTCACTTGCTGCCTTGCTGGGATTCTGCTTCTTTGGCTCCTTCCTCCTTGCCAGCAGCCTGAGTTGCAGATTGTTTTTGCAGGTGCCAGTGAAAACCTTTGCCAACACTGAACTCATGCAATCAGTGGTGGGTGGGCTGCTCCCACTTCCATTTGAAGCAGCCCAGTGGGGTAGTGAGACTTGTCTCTGCTGGGCCCTTCAGAGGCAGCAGGAGCTCCTAGCATGGGCAGAGTCTTCCTTCAGACCTGGATGCCTAAGGCAGGCACTGACAGTGGTGTCACCTGCCCACACCATGCCATAAGCCATCTCTTAATTGCTCCCAGATCAGGCTGGGAAATGTTAACATGTGTTTTGTGTGATCTCATTATCTGTGTTTAAATTACATGGGTCTGGCGCCTGGATACTGGGAGTGCGGCCGTGCATGCTGTGGAGGATTGAGCCTAGTGCAGCTTTGGCTTGGGACAACCAACATCATGTTGGCCAATTCCTGGCCCCAGCAGGGGCGTTAGCACAGTCTAGGCACCATTCTCCATCAGTGCTTTGGAAGCAGACACATTAATTTGGAGATGGATCATGTTTGATGGTGGACAAACTGTGCCAAGAGGTGTCAGCTGGAGAGCAAGACCTATATGGACTTATGAGGAGCATCTGAGCGAGCCTGGAGAAAAGAAGGCTCAGGGGAGATCTTATCACTCTGTAACTACCTGAAAGGAGGTTGTAGTCAGGTGGGGGGTTGGTCTCTTCTCTCAGGTAACAAGTGGTATGACAAGAGAAAATGGCCTCAAGCTGCACCAGGGGAGGTTTAGATGGGATATGAGGAATCCTCGCTGAAAGGGTGATCAAGCATTGGAACAGGCTGCCCAGGGAAGTGGTGGAATCACTGTCCTTGGAAATGTTAAAAAAATGTGTAGATGTAGTGCTTATAGACATAGTTTAGTGGTGGACTTGGCAGTGATGGGTTAATGATTGGACTTGGTGATCTCAGAGGTCTTTTCCAACCTTAATGGTTCTGTGATTCTATGAATTAACTGTCTGGACATGGCATTTCAGACCAGCCTAATCCCAGGTTTATTAGATGACATAACTAACATGGTCCCAGCATCATATCTGCAAATTTTTTTTGGAAGAAACAAAAAAAAAAGTTTGCACAGGGAAGAAAAAGATCTGACTTCAGAGAAGTTTTTAAACAAAAGCAGAAACATTCAGATTCTGTCAGCAGCAGCAGAGAAGAAGACTTTTTGCCCCAGCAGGCAGAGACTTGTGCTAATGAAGTGAAAGGATCTGGCAAGGTCTGTGAAGAATTCAAATCAAAAGTAAGTAATGAAGCATCTGCATTTGTTGTGGGATTTTCTTGAGTGAATGCAACATCACTTGTTGGGTGAGAAATGCATTTCTGCGAGAGGGGCGATTAGCACGGTGTTCTGACAAGTCCTCCCAAACCTGCAGGTTTTGTATCAAAGCTCGCTTGAAAAATCTGACTACTGAGGCCTGTGCCAGACTTCTGAAGGTACTTCAGGACCCATATGAGCATAGATATTTATGGCTTGGCATTCTTTGCTAAGTACAGATATGCTAGAAAAGCAGGAGTATGGAGTGGGTGATTTTCCTGAAAGAGAGCAGGGGAAGCTTCTTGAAAACATTTTCCTAAGACATTTTTCAGGCAGATACAATTTTGCAGGGTGAAACAGGGTAACCTGACAGAAATTATTGTTTCTTGGTGACTGGACAAACTTTTAATCAGATCCTACTGGATTAATAACAAAGTCTGAAATATGTGAGGATTGGATTTGCACAGAGATACCAGGACATGGTCAGCCTTTCCTCAATGTTTCAAAATGTTAATTTTGAGTCTCACAAGCAGAATCTAGTGCTTGTGTGAGTTTGGTAAGCCCTTCTGTAGGGAGAAGGTTAACGAGGGGACTGAGGAAAGATGGATCCATAGAATGCAAAATACAGGACCATGAGAAATTTTGGTGGTTTTTTTGGGTTGTTGACTATTTGAGTATTGTTTATGAGCTGTAAATAAACACATGTTTAAGAGCTGATCCTATGAAGTGTTGACCTGCTCCAGAAAGTCTGAGCACAGACAATAGTAACCAAGAAGCACCAGAAAGTCCTTGTCTAGAGCTCACTGCCTGGCACAGACCTTGATCCATAACTTTATCAAAACATAAATGCAATCTTTTTGTTGTCTGAATTTGTCCTTTTAAACGGAAGATATGGCAGAAGTACTTTAATAAGAAAGTATTTAAGGTCTGAATTGTCCTCTAGGGATATCCATTTCTTTCTGTTGCTTATTAGGGAGCCTGTTGTGACCATGCTACTGAAGTGTTTTGGTTAAGCACTTACCTAGGTAAAATGAATGTGAGTATTCTTGTATGTAGGTATTAAAGGCGCTTTGGAAAGCAGCCTACAGAGTTTGGGCAGGACACCTTTAACCTAAAATAAGGATGCCCAAGCCTTTCCACTGTCAGAGTCATGCTGGAGCCTCAAAAGGCCCCTGAACAGAGGTAGTTATCTAAAAAGAAAGACTTCAAAGAAAGCAAAACTGAAGTTAGTGGCATTTACTTGTACCTTTGCTGCAGAATAATGAGATGGTGCAGTCATTGCCTCCAGCCACTGTCACTGCAGTTATGTCTCTCTGACATTGTGTTGCGTTTGAAATCTAGTGGTTTCGATGCTCACTGGCTGTATGGGGTTCATGCACAAGGCAAGGTGCTATTTTGGTTTCTCATGGGCAGAATTTCAAGGAGATGGAGGACAGTAAATCATGCTGAAATGGAAAGGCCCAGATTTTTCAAATGGTGGGGATTCAGGAAGCAGGGCAGTGGAGGGATCACTACTGCATTAATTGCTCTGAGACTGCTTTTGCTGGAAGCAGGGAAAACTCATGCAGAGGTGGTGTGGTTTACCTCCTCTAGAAATTGAAAGAAATAGTTCAAAGAAGCAGTGAGAAATTCAATGGCTTGTGTGGTTTTTTTTTGGAAGTCTTGTGCCTTTGAACCAATAGATGGATCTGGGATCTAACGGACACTCATCTTGCATGTACAGGGCTGAGACACATGCATGGAACTGCTTTTAAATGTCAGGAGTTTGGCAGTCCTGAGTATTCTCTGTCCCTGTAAATAAATAAATACACTGTGTGTGTACTTTTAATCTAAGGTATAGGATGTTTAAGGAGATCAGAAATGATCAATAAAATTATCTATTCTGTCTCAATTTGTGGCAAGTGAGATTTATTTATTGCTGCTATGTGATTTGAGGGCCAAGGGGTTATTGAAGTGTATAGAGACTTAGGTTTTAATTTTACTTGACATGGTGGTGTTTGGTCAAAGACTGGACTTGACGAGGTCTCTTCCAAACCTAATGACTCTGTGATTTATTTTATTTTTCCATAGCATACGTGCCTTAGTTTCTAAAACCACCAACCTTCGGGAAGATGTCTAAAAGCGCAGTACAGGTTTCAGCAAAGCACAGCTATGGCTTGTGCTTCTAAACTTAGAGGTGCCTCTGCAAATCATCCTGCTATCAGCAGACCCAGCATATCCTTGAAAGTCAAGTTGGGGATGTGTTGCTGTAGCACTGAAACCTGAAGATGTTCTCTGCTGGTGTAGGTGTAGTCTACACTACATTTAGCAGTGGCCATGGATGGTTTCCAGTAGCAAATCTGGATATGGCCACCCTGTTTTAGAGGCTAAAACAGTTGATGAGAATGGTGGAGAGCAGTCCCATGCCAGTGCACCTCAGTGCTAGGGAATAGACACATTCAGTTTAGCAGGGACAATGTAGTCTAAGACCCACACCCAAAGCACACTGAAGCCTAGAATCAAGCCCTGAACACACAGAGGACTTCAGTCTCCAGGGTACCTTTTGGGATCATTAAAAAATTGCACACAAATCCAATTATTTCTCAGGTAACATGCTGATTTGGTTTAGACCTATTAAGTGTAATTACCGGGTAGGCTGAAGGAACAGATAATTAGAGGGAATTGACATACTATTAAATTGGTCTAACATGAATTCCCTCTAACTGAAATCTGGATTCACCAATATTATTCAAACAATTCAGTGTTTGTTCATCCCTCTCACTTCAGAGACAGAGAACTGTGTAAGATCGTGTGTTATTGTAAGCTAGGAAATATTTGTTCTGTGTGCCAGACTTTCTGGAGGGTCTGTGTGATCTAATCCTGACTGGGACAGGATCCTGACAGGATCTGTGGGGCTGCCCAAATCATGCTGAAGAAATAACTTTACCTCTCTGCATCCCAGCAATACAAATTGCAGAAAAAACCCTGCAAAACTGAAAAAAAAAGTGGCTGATTTTACTGGGGTTGATTGCTGCTCTGGGGTATTGTACCAGTGAGGATCCATCTGCCCCTGCACAGCAGCTGTTTGCCCATTGTGGCTTTTTGGTCGTTTGGTCACATTCTTGACTTTGCTTATTCAAAAGTGCCAATGCTCCTGAGCAAGATGGGGACATAAGTGCTTGCCCTTCTTCACAAAAGGAACGCTTAGGATGAGGTGTGTTGTGTGTTGTCTGTGTGGCCTTTCACTGGCAGTGCTGTTGAGAAAGGAGAAGGCTCCTAGCCTGTTTATGTGGCTTCCCCCATGAGCCTCCCACATAGTGCCTTTCTCTTGGCTCCTTGTTTGCCATTTCCAAGCTGCCCTGGATGCACCAACCTCTTTTCAGCTCTGAACAGCCTAAACTGTAGCTTCCTGTAATCCTATAGTGATATTTTCTCTCTTTTCTGTTAGGCAGTTGCTTCTTTAGCTTATGACTTCAAGAACTCTGGGAAGAATAATCTCCATTCAATGGGCTTTTAAATAAAATTATTATTTTTTTA